ACAAAACCTGTGATTTTCCGGAACTAAAAAACCAGATTTTTTCCTGATTTTTGTTTTTTATTTTTTTTTACAGGGCAAAGGTAACCAACGCAAGTAACGTGGATGCCAAAGGCAACCAACACAAGTAATATGGACACCAAAGACAACCAACGTGGAAACCAAAGGCAACCAAGGCAACCAACGTGGATATCAAAGGCAATCAACACAAGCAACGTGGATACCAAAGGCAACCAACACAAGCAATATGAATGCCAAAGACAAGCAAATGTGAATACCAAAGACAACCAACGTGAACACCAAAGGCAACCAACGCAAGCAACGTGAATACCAAAGGCAATCAACGCAAGCAACGTGAATGCCAAAGACAACCAACTTGGATACCAAAGGCAATCAAGCAACGTGGATGCCAAAGATCATTAGTACCAATCGTCACGAGACTTATATGTATATATGTGATTTAACGCGTGTCAACACGTCAAAAATTATTCTTTACGATGCAAGTTTGCAAATGATGCAGGTGCAAGCGTAATGAAGTTGAATTTATTTGGAACAATCAATTTCATTTAACTTGCAAGCAGTATAAATTATCACTGCAAAATAAATCTCCAGTAATTTCTTTCACGTCTCACTTTACTTCCTCCCAAAACACACAATCCTATTCACTATTTACAAGTATTAATAATGATAATAATATAAACGATATTCATATTGAATTTTTGGACCTTTCAGATTATATTTATAATTGTATCGCGAACATTATTGAAAACGAAAAAGCAGAAAAAGATCAAATTGTCTTGAGTTTCAAGATTGTAGTTCAACTTGAAGATGAATCAATAATTGAAAAATGTTTGCATGATATTGCAGACTCAGTTGTTGCAGAAATAGAAGGTAATGATAATTATTGTTGGAATATTCATAAAGCTCAAACTTCACTCAAGTTTTCCGATTCAAAAGGAACATTTTATTATCATTGTAGTCAATCTTTCAAAACTCAACAACACGAGTACAAAGAAAATTCTAATAGAAAACGTCATATTCGTTATAATTGCAAAGGAAATATTAAAATTACCATTGATACAAATCTAAGCATTGCTGTTGTAGATAAGGATGCTTGCCTAAATCCTTTCAAAAAAATATCGTCATAATTTTGACGGGTTACACACTAATTGTTAATTAGAA